GGAGGAGGAGAAAGAGGAGAAGAAGAAGACCATAATCATAATAAAAATTATAATCATAAACATATTTTTTTTAGTTTAAAAAATACCGTTATCTGTTCGGGGGTTCTTTTTATTTCTACAGGTTTATTAAAGATTTGTAAATTGTGGCTTTTTTTGTTACTTCGGTCATCCCTCCCCCTCCCCCAATAGCTTCATAAACATCGGCATCCGACCCCCAATTATTTGTAGTTTCTTGTTAGGCTTTTCAAAGACAAAAGTAATCAACATCAGCTAAGGATTTCCTTTCCCAATCCATTGTACAAAACGTTTGATTCCATTATTGGGAATCTGATGGTCTTGCCTTTTAACTGTTACAGATTTTTCTTCAACTCATTTTCTTTTTCCTTATGTCTACGTGGTAGATCTCAAGGGTAGTCGACTGCATGTTCAGCAACCTGCAATGAAATTGCATTAAATGTATGTGATCTTTTCTCATCTTCGTAGTGCCCCTTGCCTTCTGGCAGCCACATTTCGATGTCGAATGTACTCTACATGTTATACTGAACAGAGTATGTAAAGTTTTGGTAGAAATTCATTTTGAACGTTGCCTGGATGGCTGCCGAGCCTACTCTTGATCTTTTTAAAAACCACCAACACGACTCAAGACACGGTCCTTCCAAGATTGCTCCCCCATGTCTGAGAAAGCTAGGTGTTTGTTCTTCTCTACCCTTATTGTTTTTGTAAAGTGTTTTACGGCGCTCGCAACTGCATAAGGTCATATGAGCTCGCAGGACACATCTAATATTTTCAGTTAGTAGGAAATTTGGAATTTTGCCCGTGTGGCGGCGGAAGCCTACTCTTATCGATTTTAGACCACCAAGGGATCTTTAACGTATGCAACTTGCACACGGGCCCTCCGAGATTTTTCGCCTTTGTCCAAGAAGGCTAGGTGTAGATCTTTCTTACAAGAAGATCAGGGGTGTGGCAGAAAGACAGCAGTTAAGAGGAGCCAAGGAGTAGCAGTAGAAAGGCTGCAGAAAGAGTCAGGAGCCTAGAGGACGGGGCAAAGGAGGTGAGGGGGTGGGGGCAGAATGTGGAAATGAAAGCAGACAACAGAACATTGCTAGAGAGCAGGAAAGGAGGTGAAAGGAGACAATTTTAGAGAAGCAAATGTTTCGGTTGCTACCCGGATTCGAACCCGCGACCTTTGAATGAGATGCCAACACCTTAACCTCTAGGCCACGAGAGCCACCCATCTACCCTTAGATCACGGGTAAGGCTAATAGACAACAGTAAGAAGGGGTCGGGATTAAGGGATAGAAGAGCAGAGAGGGGGACTGGGTTGGGGAGGGAGGGGATAAGGGAGGGAGAGAAGGCTGATTCTGGCTGAACAGGGCTAGAGAACAGGAAAGAAGGAGATCATTTTAGAAAAGTAAATTATTAATGTTTCAGTCGTTGAGAGGTTTCGATCCCTGAACCCATCAACTGACAGGCGAACACCGTATCTCTGGACCACGACTGCCTGAGCCATATGAAAATAATACTTATTTTTTTAATGAATTTCTTTCTTTCCTGTTTCGACCCTATTGTTGGACACACAGTAGACATGACGTCAGCTGAGTGTCAAAGTGACTCTATAAAAACAATTCAGAACAGTGAACATTTTTTTCAGTCAAACGAGCGTGTTTTGCTTCGTCATTCAAACTGTGTACCACGGTCGACTTCCAGTCCAGGAGGTTAAAAAAATTGTTCTTTGCGCTATCTAGCGGTTTTCTTGTCCGGAAATCAGATGCACTTGAAGAGCGGGTGAACTGGCAAATGCACAAAATTGTGAAGGTAAGTGGTTTGTTTCCATGCCATGAACAGACAAATAATTCATCATAAATAGCTAGATGTAGATAAATAGCTATCTTAGAATTGCTATGTTTTATCATACCTCTTCTGACGTTTTGAGTTACAAACGCCATCAGGTCAGAACCTATATTATGTTTTATCTGCTCTATTAAAATCGTAAGATTGTTGGGAGTCGTTATCAACAAAAAGCTTGAAATGTGAAACATAACATTTTGAACGTCAAATTTTTCAAAACAACTAACTGAGCAGCTAATTTTAAGGCAGCAAAATGCTAGGGAGAGTAGAGCTATTTCTTAAATAATTAAACTTTTACATAAATGTGATAGTTGTACGTTGTACCAAAGAAAATTAGTCACGAGCATCACAATGAATAAGGTTGTGTTGGTGTACTTTTGTTTGTTTCTGTGGCTTTATCACTATAATGTGCTCTACTTTCTCTACCCAGCTGTTCATTTTAGGGATAATTAGAAGTTGCACCAGCAACAGCATATTGCGTTACATAATGCATCTCTTGGAAGTCGATGAATGGTAATTTCATCACATTCAAATATCTGTTCATTTCCTACGAACATGCTGAACACAGTGATAGCACAAGGAATTATGTATATTGAGATTATAAAGAGATGGAGGTTTCAGTAGCACCTTCTCTTAGCTAAAGCGCGCATTTTCCTTGTAACTGATTGTTAGACGTCAACGTTGTTGTTTAGGTTTTTGGGGTTTTTTTCATTATTCTTTTTATTTTTGTTAAAGGTTCTACACCCCAAAAGTCAAAATTCGGCTCAAAATTATGGAATTTGAGTTGTAGGCGTTTTTAGCTTCCTTTGCCACTCCTCCAATTATTTCATCACATAAG